GCAGGCCTGGGGGTGGCTGGGCCCCAGCGCAGGGCCTTGAAGGGGGGTGGGTAGGCCTGGGGCATTGTGGGGAGAGGGCAGCTATTCAAGCTTCTCTTCCTTGTCCCACTGTGTGACCCCCCCCCCCAAGGCCACCTTGTGGAGGAAGAATCTGAGTGCTTCGGCACATGGATGGGAATACATTTTAATAACCAAAACTGGGTGAAAGAAAGTGGTACCAGGTGGAGGGCAGTAGCCTGGTAAGGAGGCCACCGGGTAACTGCTCGCTGTCATTCGTCCCATCCCTCCCTCCCCCCGAACCACTGAACACCAGAAAGGCACCAGAACCACCATCTGTTCCGAAGTTGCACAGATAATGGAAATTATACATGTAATGCAAATAGGTGAGAGCTACACACGGCTACTGAAAAGCCTGGCTGAACTAAGTTGTAACAGCCCCTTCCAAGCAGTGCAGCTGTGTATTACCGTTTACAAATATCTGGAACTGCAGATTGCCAAAGTGAAGAGAATAAAAATAATGCATTGGTCTATATAATATGAAGCCATGTTAGAAAAAATGTAATAGTTGTGAAAACGTAGTCCAAACTAACTTTTAACACTGTGCCACCTGTGCAGTAAAATGTTATGTATTATTATTAGCCTGTTGTTGTTGTTATTACTGTAGTAGGAGTATCTTTATATAGTATTTCCGTATAGTCTAAGAAAAAATGGGACTAAATAAGGTCTGTCGTGTGCCATGGTAGAGAGATGGAATTCTTTAGTAAAAGGCGAAAGATTTATTATTTTACTGCTGGAAACATTTCAAATCGGTTTTTGTTTTGTTTTTATAGGGAACCTTATTTCATAGGTTCTATGTTACAATCTAAATTTTTTTTTAGTCAGAATGGATTTTTAACATCATTTCCCCTTTTCTTTACCAAGAAACGTATAACAAGCCTCTATTTCTACTTGTTACAAAAGGAAGTGATAAAGGAGCTTCATCATTACATGTACATCTTTATTGCACAGGCCTGGAATTGCTGGTTGCCTGTTAAGATCAAACAGTTGCTGTTATTTCAAACAGTGTATTGTTAACACAAATGTAGAGCTACAAACGTTTCACAACATTTTTGTTGGCATATGCTTACTTACTTCCTGGTTTAGTTTAATAACAGATTTTTTTCCTTTGCAATCCTAAAAAGTGCTGTTCAGAACTAGCAATGAACTAGCCGATATGGTAAATGGCTATAAAGAACTATTGAAATCTCAATGGCTTAACCAAGAACCATGAAGAACGCCACCGCATGCTATCAACAACTATTTTTTCTTAGATAACTGATGTCAGCAGGTGCCAGTGGAACAAACACATAAGATCATTCATGGTGAGTTTCTTACGGCATTTATGTTGATGTCTGTTAAACCATCAGTGGGCAAAAACCTGAACCAGTAACTTTGATAATAAAACACATCTAAAGCACACCTGTATAGTAGTTTTTAAAATGTATTTAATATATTCAGATATTTACACATTTCTGAAACAAATAAAATACAATAAAAGTGCAAAGGTAAGCAAAACAGTAAATATTCTGCTATGAAAATGGAAATTCATTTGCACAGTGAATCATCCAAACTGGAACATCAAGCAGTACATGAATGATCTACACAGATCACTTGATCTTAGAAGCCATCTGTGGTTCTATAAGTGTCTGTAGTATGTGAATGTAGTTGGTGGAGAGGCCTTGATTGGAATCTAGATACAGAGTAATTTCCCACTTCAGAAAAACAAGCACTAAGATTCAGTGAAAACTGTGTACATTTGTGGGGGTCCTTCACCATAATGTCTGGTTTTATGCCAATATTTGAAGTGTATCCAGGTAACTTAACTGAGCGAATCATAAATGGGCTGAAAACTGTTAACATCAGTTTCGGTGACATTCTCTAGGGAAACTAGTAAGCAGGAAGCCCTCAATTATAGTATCAGCTAGCTAGTTGTTCAAGAGATGCTTCATGTCTTCAACATTACTGTAAATGTTCTGTACATGAACACTCATGGGTGGACAACCTGTTGAGGATTTCCACAGAATTTATATAGCTTTTTTGTTGTTTTGGGAAACCATGACGACTGCAGTGCTCTGGGATCAAACTTGTCCAGTTCAAAGGAAGACAAACCTTTCCCCTTGGGAACACGTTTACCTCGACTTGTCCCCTTTTCATGTTTTCCCCCTGCTTTGATGTTTTTCTTTGCAGCATCAACTCTGATTTCACTCATCAGAGGGGAATCCGATGCTGCCAATGTGTGGAGTTCATCCTTTTGTCATGTTTTTTTCCTTCCAAGTTTGCTTTTTATTGCATTCATCCTGAGTTTTTTCAGAGCATACTCTGCCTTTTTTGCATTTAGACTTTTACCTCTGGACTTTCATGCTGCCGATATGTGGCAACATGTTTCAACTGGGAATAATTTCACCACATACCCCTTTGCGCATAATCCTCTGATTAAAAAGCAGCTGGACTGTGATTGTAGAAATACACAGTTAGACCTTCCATGGTCTTTGATTTGTGATAATCTCTTTTGATCCAAACACATGTTCTGTGTTACACTACCCCCTTTATAAAGGACACAATCTTGTCTACAAGGCATGTAACACTGCTCTACAGCCAAAATGCTTCTGAAATAAATGTAGTCAAACTTTACTAATTCTGGGTCACTGAGAACAAAAATGATGCTTAAAATTGTTGATTGGCTCTAGTTTTCAAGATATGCTATTGGGTCAGTATATACGACCCTTGACTTGGGAATGGCGGAGGATAAGTGAGTTATAAAGGGAAGGGATCTCAATTTAAACCAGAAATGACTAAAATACATCTTTGACTAGATCTATGAATAAATCTATGACTGGGTTTGGACAGTACTTGCTTTTTAGGCAAAATAATGAATGATGCAATCTGAAGCTGGTATTGCATCATACATGATATGAATTGCATCATGTTATTCCTAGAAGTCATGGATGATGCAATCATAACGAAGCTTACATCACTCTGCTGAATAAATTGCCCTATATCAGCTCTAGAAATCATACAGTGTCGTGCTCTCTTATTTGTCAGTGTTTGATTTTGCAAAGGGACACATTTCTGTTTAGCCAAAGTGAGCAGAGATGCCTCGTACTTGTGTGAACAGTACAGATAACTTCTGCTATGTTTGTGGTGAAGTGACTTTTGCATCACAAAAGCGCAGTATAACCACTATGGTTAAGAAAGCCTACCACCTTTATTTTGGCTGCAAAATTGGAGATCAGGACAAGAGGTGGGCCCCACACATATGCTGCAACACTTGTGCAACAAATCTTCGCCAGTGGTTGAACAGGAAAAGGAAATCTATGCCTTTTGCGGTGCCAATGATTTGGAGAGAGCCAACAGATCATACCAGCAATTGTTACTTCTGCATGGTGCCTCCAGTTGGGAAAGGTGTGTCAAAGAAGAAAAAGTGGACTGTGCATTATCCAAACATTCCATCAGCTATACGCCCAGTACCCCATGGAGAAGGACTGCCGGTTCCTGATGCACCAGAATCATTCTCACTTGACTCAGACGAGGAAGAGAAAGAGGATGAAACTTTTGGTCCTGAACCATCAATGTCACAGGACCCACATTTTCTCCCATCCTCCTCCTCTGAACCACACCTCATAACACAAGGTGAACTGAATGACCTTGTCAGGGATTTGGAACTACCCAAGAGTAAGGCAGAGCTGTTGGGCTCCAGACTACAGCAGTGGAATCTCCTGGCAGGTGATATTAGGGTTTCCATGTTCCGTGACCGTCAAAAGGATCTTGTCCCATTCTTCTTCATGGAAGGTGATCTTGTAGCCTGCAACAACATCGATGGTGTGATGGCAGCCCTCAACATCGTTCATGATCCAGATGAGTGGAGACTGTTCATTGATTCATCGAAGACGACTCTTAAAGCTGTTTTACTGCATAATGGCAATGTTTTGCCATCAATTCCAGTTGGTCATGCAGTCCATATGAAGGAAACCTATGACAACATGAAACAACTTTTGAGGTGCATAAACTATGACCAACATCAGTGGCAGCTTTGTGGCGATTTGAAGGTTGTTGCTCTCTTGCTTGGTCAGCAGACTGGATACACAAAGTACTGCTGTTTTCTCTGCGAATGGGATAGTCGTGCAAGAGATTCCCACTACATCAAGAAAGACTGGCCACTCCGACAGTCATTGGAGCCTGGGAGGAAAAGTGTTCAGCATCCACCACTTGTTGAATCAAGGAAGATTTTGTTACCACCCTTACACATCAAGCTGGATCTGATGAAGAACTTTGTCAAGACCATTGACAAAACACAAGCAGCTTTCAAGTACCTCCGTGGAAAATTTCCAAGGTTAAGTGAAGCTAAGATAAAGGAAGGTGTCTTTGTTGGTCCTCAGATTCGTGAACTTCTTCGAGATGATGCATTTGACCATGCACTGCGTGGCAAGGAAAAGACGGCATGGAAAGCCTTCCAGTTAGTGGCAATAAATTTTCTCGGAAACAACAAGGCAGACAACTACAGATTGTTGGTGGAAAACCTCCTCAATGCATACAAAAGCCGTGGTTGCAACATGTCACTAAAGATACATTTTTTGCACTCTCATCTAGATTTTTTTTCCACCGAACTGCAGAGCAGTGAGTGACGAGCACGGCGAGCGATTTCACCAGGACATGCAACAATGGAGAAATGCTATCCGGGCAAATGGAGCCCATCAATGCTTGCAGACTATTGCTGGACAGTGACAAGAGATGCTCCATTTAATGAATACAAGAAGCGCTGAGTAGACACTGA